TTAAATTCCATTTCATTTTTCGGGGCGGGGGGGGGCATATCTTCCATGTATCCCCAGCCTATACTTTTGCATCTGATTTCTATTTCCTAAGTGATTAATTTTGCATTTATCTCTATTGATTTTTTAAATTATTCTTAGTTCATTTTCTAATATATCAAGGTTTTTTTGAATTTTTTGCCTTCTAGGATATTAGATATCCACCCAATTTTGTGTCATCCGCAAATTAGATAAGCATTCTTCCACTTCCTCATCCATACCATTAATAAAAAATGTAAGACCCAGGATTGATCCTTAGGCACCCCACTCAATGCCTTATTCCAGCTTGATGAGGAACCACTGATGAATGGTTCTTTAGAGCCAGTTATGGTCCATTTAATTGTCATGCCAATTTTATATTAGCTACATTTAGCTACCTTGCCAATCAGAATATCTTGAGATATTTTGTCAAGTGTTTGCTTAAATCAGGATACTTCTGTAGCATTCCCACAATCATATTAAGGAAGTAATCCATTTAAACAATGAGATAAAGTTAGTTGGCAAGATTTGTTCTTGACCAATTGATGATGACTTCTGGTAATCATCATGTTGTTTTTGAGATGCTTACAGAACAATCTATTAATGAACTGTTCTAGGTTCTTCTTAGGAATCAATTATATAGTTGGACTGATTGGTCTGTTCTGTAGTTCCTATATCCTCCTTTCCCTGCTTTTTTGAAGGTATAGTGTACAGTGTTTGTTCCAGTAGAAGAGAATATATGTAGCTCAGGATTGAACTGTGGAGTCCTTGGTGCTTTCTGAGCTTGGTTGTTTGCTTCATCCAACTGTATAATTACCAGGGACCCCAACTTACAACATAGCCAAAGAACTTACAAAAAAGCTTGGACATCTCATAGAGGGAGTGAATATTCTATCAATTCCCCACTACAGTACCTCCCAAAAATAAAAGACCTAAAAATAGAAGAAGATAGACCCAGAACTAGCAAAAGAATCCATGGCAGCAATATTACATAACACACCCTAGCCAAATACT